CTCTCTCTATATATATATATATATATATATATATATATATATATATATTGTATCAATAGCTTTTCTCTGTAAGCTGGAGTCTAAACATAGTAGAGTACCCTAACCATTTCATTCAGCAAGGATGCATGTTCTCTCTCAATTGTAGTGGGTCCAACAAGTACTTTAAGAAGTATGAAGCCGAAGCCATAAATGTCATCCTCAAGATTTGTATTCTTCCTGGAGATAGAAACATTGAAATGGATCTAAGTCAATATAAGCTTCAAATCCTATATGAAGCACAGGAGGAATAAAGGATTTTTTTCTTTTCCTTTTTCTTTCTTTGGGCAGCAGGGAGAGGGGGTGCGGCGCTGCAAGTACTAATTCCCAGTCCCACAGAAATCAGTGGAATTTTGGAAATTTTTGCTCATGAAATAAGAATATATAGTGTGGATGGGAAACTGAATTCCTTGTGTTGCATAGCTTTCAATAACCATAGAAAGAAGAAGCATGTAATCAGTTGTCATGTCCCATTTGCCAAAGTACTCACTGTAATAAGTTAGGGAACTTTTACATGTCAAAAACAAAAAAAAGTTAGGGAACTTTGACATAATAATTTAGAGAACTTTTACTGTTGATCTTCCTGGAGCTGTTTTTCATTTTCATTCGAAGGAAGGAATGTATTTTTAAAGTATGAATAGTTTAGAAGGTTTCGAATGAGTTCCAATAATTAGGCCTAGATCAAATAATATCCCAATAGGCCCTCACCAGTAATGGCACCGTGTGTACAAGATGAAAGATTACATCCACATATTCAATCCAGTGGGACCTCAGATTGCTTCATGATATAACTGAGCCTCTAAGGGCTGTTTCTTGATAGCAATGTCCATAATTTCTGATAAAAGATTTAGGTTCCCTGGCTTTGACATTCATTTGCTGAAATTTTTCCCCCAAATTTGGTTCTCTTCCTAAACCGTTGACTAACAGATTTTTTTTCACTGGGTAAACTTTTGTGGAACCATTCGCTACTGGTCTTCATATCCACCATTATTTTAGCCTTTCAGGTATAATTGATTGTGGTTACATCTGTAGACAATGGACCAACATGCTGGATGACATGAGAGTACAATATAAAGCACATGAAAGCAATTCAGAACTGACGTGTAAGATTTCTCTCAATATGAATGGGTAGTATTTTGATTGCCAGGATTTCATTCGAATTTGAGTACTTACAAATCAACAAATGAAGAAAAGGGTGAAAGTTCAATACCTCATACATGATCTGGGATCCACATGGACAGACTTTTGGCTTTCTATCCTTCCCTATATATCATAAGAGTACACACTGTGTCACTATTTGAGCAACTGAATGACAACAATGCAACTATATGGCCATGTAATGTACCAAAAAACATATGGTGAAAAAATCATGGATACCTCATGTTTTTCAATTTCTTCAGTAATGATTGCTAGTCCATAGTCACTCAATTTTGCAGTAGCATGCTCATCAAGAAAAATATTATGAACTTTCAATCGATTGTTGAAGAAACCAGGAATTACTCGTGTGTGTAGGAAGTGTACCGCCTTTGCAACACCGACCAAAATATTCAGTCTTGCTGGCCAAGATAAAGATTTCTCTGGAATATACCCTACCAAAATGAATCTTACTAAGTCATCAAGGTGCAGCTAATCTTAAAAATTTGAGAAATCATTAACTACCTTGCACACCCCATATTTACCTGAAAGATGAGTTTGAAGATTTCCACTGGGTATGTATTCATAGACGAGAAAAACCTGCTTAACACCATAGGGATCATGCACACTGTCGAGGCAATGCCCCAAGAGACATACCAAATTGGGATGCCGAAGCTTCGAAAGTAAATCCAGCCGGAGTTTGAGATTTCGAATAGAATATCTTTTAGACAATTCTAAACAGCGTATGACAACGTAAGTACCATTCTCCAAACTTCCCTTGTAAAGCTGGCACAGAACAGGAATATTGGTTGTGGACAGAGCAATTGAAAGGAAATTACCAACTCTTTATATAAACACTAATTGTAGTAGAAACAGCATGTAATTTTGATGTAATTATTCATTCCAAGCAATGTGTTGAAAATTAGGAAAACAGAAACTTTGTGCAAACACACTCTTGATGTACAAGCATGCATAAAGACTTAAAGATATCAGTCAACATTCATATATGTAATCAATTGGAGTTATTTTGGTCATTATTCCTATGATGTTCTTTTCTAGCAGTATTCAGAAGGGAGAACTCATTTTTCTGTCAATATTCCCAGCTATTTGGGGTCGATTCATGAGTCCCAGTCTGTCATTCTACTCTATCAAGGGCCCTACCCTCAGTGAGGCCATAATTCCCCATATCTTTTATCACTATTTCCAACCATGTCATTTTGGATCTACCCCTTGCCCTTTTTGAGCTTTCCACTTGAACTAACTCTCACCCCCGAACATGTATTCTACATTACACATGGCCAGTCCACCTAAGTTTACTTTCTCTCATCGTATCACTTATTGGACCAAACTTGAGTTCTTAATGTATTCATTTTGAATTCTATCCCTTCTTGTCTTATCACTCATCCATCTCAACTATACTTGTCTCATGGATATGTTGTTTCTTGACCGCCCAACATTCTACCCCATATAACAAAGCTAGTCTCACAACTATCCTATAGAACTCGCCCTTTAACTTCATTGGTATGCAGGGATCAGAAAAATTCTAGTTGCACATCCCCACTCTGCCTAATTCTATACGCAACATCTTCCTCAATATCTCCATTTTCTTGAATTATCGATCCAAGATATCGAAAGTGCTTTTTGGTATTTCTTGGTTGTCCATCGTAACTACTTCCTTGTCTCTACTCCTATTGTTATTAAACTTTTATTTCATATACTATGTTTTAGTCCGACTAATTTTAAAACCTTTGGATTCTAGAACATCCCTCTAATGTTCGAACTTTGTGTTGATGCCACTTCGGGTCTCATCGATCAAAATTGTGTTGTCCACGAATAACAAATACCATGGTACCTCATCTTGTAGGTGCCTAGTTAAGTCGTCTATCACTAAAACAAAAGGGTACGGGCTCAACGCTGACCCATGATGTAGACATATTGTCACTAAAAACTCACTCATCTCTTTACTAGTTGTTCATACACTAGTTAGTGCTACCTCGTACGTATCTCTCACCAAGTTGATATAGTATCTAGAGACTCTTTTCTTTTCTAACACCCGCCAAATTAAATCTCGGGTATGCTATCATAAGTTTTCTCTAAATCAATAAAGACCATGTGGAAGAATTTTTCCTTCATCCTAAACCTTTTAATCACTTTTCTAAGTAGGAAAATAGCCTCAATTGGCATAAAGTGACACTAAATATTCCTTATAATATAAGTTTACAAAAAATCTCACGAGATGCGAGTATAAGCCTACTTTATATATTTCTTTCATAGTGGTAATGATATCAAGGATAAAAGACCATACACAACAGATGACAATCATCAAAAATAAAAGAGGGGATGATGAGAGAATATCATAGGCAAAAGAAATATAAAAACAAAACACACCCTTCCTATGGCCACTGTGGTCAGTCCATCCACTCCTCAATTCCCTCCGGAAGATTGTGAGGGAAAGATATATATCTTATCCCCACACAACTCTAAACGTTCTGCAAAACTATGGGCTGTCTATCAAAAAGATTGTTTGCCTTCATAGAAGCAAATATAATCACATTCAGAGGTAGATAATCTCCTTCCACAACAAATGGGAGTAAAAATCTGTTCTTTATGCAACATTGGCAGTAAGATACGCCCTTGTTATCTTTTCGTTCATGAAACATCTGGATTATGTATGAGGGGCATTTTAATCATTTACCCACACCGATGAAAATATGTAGCAAAGCAGGTCTAGGATACCCTTCATTGCGAGAAGGGCATCCAAAAGTCAAGGTTCCCTTGAATAAACCCAGAGTCCAAGTACCTCCCAAAATCCTTCATGTTTTTTCTTACGTTCTCTAGCACAAAACCCTCAACCAGACATTGTTCTTCCTGCATCAAATCCTAAATTCTCTCTCTCTCTCTCTCTCTCTCTCTCTCTCT